GTTTAGTAGAGTATGCAGCAGTGAGTAAAACATTGTTTAGTAGAGTATGCAGCAGTGAGTAATACATTGTTTAGTAGAGTATGTTGCAGTAAGACATTGTTTAGTAGAGTATGTAGCAGTAAGACATTGTTTAGTAGAGTATGTAGCAGTAAGACATTGTTTAGTAGAGTATGTAGCAGTGAGTAAGACATTGTTTAGTAGAGTATGTAGCAGTAAGACATTGTTTAGTAGAGTATGTAGCAGTGAGTAAGACATTGTTTAGTATAGTATGTAGCAGTAAGACATTGTTCAGTATAGTATATTTAATACATTGTTTAGTACAAGACTAAGATTCAGTAAAATATATTGATGTTTTACATTCAGAGCTGATAATTTAGCTTCCACTACTAGTTTACTAAACACATGAAGAGATGTTTTACCATGTTGAGGTTTAAGTATACTAAGCTTACAATAACCATGGCATTTAATACCGAGCTTAAGGTAGATTAGTGTAAGTTTATAACAGTGTGCATATTTTCAAACTTTGTTGGATCAAATAAACATTAACAATTTTCTATTGAAAGGTAAATAATGAAAATAATTTATGTTTTCAGTTTATTTTACAGAAGTATTCAAATATTATACAGCCCCATTGTTAGTGAACATTTGATGTGGTTTGTAATAATTACAAAAGTATTTAGTTTATACTTATATGATAATATATGAACGACAAGTGTTTTTACAACAACCTTTGTAGTTGAACATACATTTCTGCTCTCTTTTTTCTGGTGAAATTCTTATCCACGAACTGCAGCTACGTGTATAAAACTCAAACTATAAAGTTCCACAACTCCGTAACAATCTTTCTTGTCCGTACTTTCACTCTCTGACGTCTTTGAATTTGAGCCTTGAAAACTAGGGCAAACTATAAGACATGTTCAGGTACATTAATAAAACTTTCTGTAGTTTTGATGTGATTGAACTTATCTTTTAGTTCTGTAGTTGTTTTTTATCAACTACTAAGTTAACACTTCAAGCAACAATGATTCCAGTATCGCTAGATATGAGAGTTTCTTAAAACTAACAGTTTTCTTTTTATGGTTTTTAGACAAGTCATTCTTCTTCAGTTAGTTTTAATATCAACTGAATTGGTTCTAATTACTACTTCATATAGACAAAGTTATCACTTCCGGGGAAGTAGTCAGTCACATCCAGGATGGACACTAAGTATAGCCTATTGTGAAGCTTACATAATCACGACAAAGTTACTACTTCCGGGGAAGTAGTCCCCCGGAAGTAGTAACTTTGTCGTGATTATGTAAGCTTCACAATAGGCTATACTTAGTGTCCGTCCTGGATGTGATTCCTGGATGTGACTGACTACTTATCATGTACATCTTTTACAAATGTCGTGATTATTATAAGCTTCACAATAGGCTATACTTAGTGTCCATCTGTTTTTTAAAGATAAAATACCACAAATTTTACTGAATTCACCTTAAGCACATATTTCTTTTCTTTGAAATCATTGTTATACTCAAATGCTTATATGAAATTTGAATTTTCTTGTTTTTCATTAATGTTGAGCACTTTAATGTAAGAATAAATATTTTCTGTGCTTTTATGTGTTTATTATAACAACAAGTTTGTGTGGGTTACAATTATACACCATTTTAACAACTGAAAAAAATAAACTTGTACTTGATACAATTATAGTACAATAAATGCATTATTCTTGGTTAATTACAGTCATACATGTTAGTGTTATTGAAGTACATTTTTCTAGAGTACGAATGCACTGTAGGTGTATTTATAAGGTGAAGAGTAACACCTTCAACTGACACCTTATAAATACACCTACAGTGCATTCGGAGTAACACCTTCAACCGACACCTTATAAATACACCTACAGTGCATTTGGAGTAACACCTTCAACCGACACCTTATAAATACACCTACAGTGCATTTGGAGTAACACCTTCAACCGACACCTTATAAATACACCTACAGTGCATTTGGAGTAACACCTTCAACCGACACCTTATAAATACACCTACAGTGCATTCGGAGTAACACCTTCAACCGACACCTTATAAATACACCTACAGTGCATTTGGAGTAACACCTTCAGCTGACGTGAGTAAAATAAGTAATTCAGTGAAGCTAACCTCTTCAACATTCACTACTCTTCCATAGAAAGGCCATTAAGACAACTCCTCACAGTCATGTTGCAGGCCTTTAGCTGAAGATTTACTTTCTAAGTGACATCGTGTGATAATATTTATAACCATTAAGACAACTCTTCACTGTCATGTTGCAGGCCTTTAGCTGAAGA